GTTAGTGTGGCTGGGTTTATGTTGAGGTCTTTAATCCATTTTGACTTAATTTTTGTGCATGGTGATAGGTTTGGGTCTCTCTGTAGTCTTCTACATGTCCGCATCCAGTTATGCCAGCACCATTTGTTGAAGATGTTCTCTTTGTTCCATCGTATAAATTTGGATTGTTTATCACAAATCAGGTGTTCGTAGGTGTGTAGGTGTGTGGAGTAATATCAGGGTTTTCAACTCTATTCCATTGGTCTACCTGTCTATTTTTGTGCCAATACCAAGCTGTTTTCAGGACTATAGCTCTGTAATAGAGCTTGAAGTCAGGGATGGTGATGCCTCCAGAAGTTCCTCAGGGTTGTTTTGGCTATCCTGGGACTTTTTTTTTCTTTCTTTTTTTTTGGGGGGGAGGGGGTTTGAGACAGGGTTTCTCTGTGGCTTCGGAGCCATCCTGGAACTCGCTCTTGTAGACCAGGCTGTTCTCGAACTCCTATAGATCTGCCTGCCTCTCTCTCCTAAGTGCTGGGATTAAAGGCGTGTGCCATCAATGCCCGGCTATCCTGGGTCTTTTGTTTCTCCATATAAAGTTGAGAATTGTTCTTTCAAGGTCTGTGAAGAATTGTGTTGGGATTTTGATGGGGATTGCATTGAATCTGTAGATTGCTTTTGGCAAGATTGCCATTTTTACTATGTTGATCCTACCTATCCAAGAGCATGGGAGATCTTTCCATTTTCTGGTATCTTCTTTAATTTTTTTTTTTAGGGATTTAAAATTTTTATGGTACAGGTCTTTCACTTTTTTGGTTAGTGTTACCCCAAGGTATTTTATGTTGTTTGTGGCAATTATAAAGGGTGATGTTTCTCTGATTGCTTTTTCCACCAGTATATAGTAGGGCTATAGATTTTTTTGAGTTAATCTTGTATCCTGCCACTTTGCTGAAGGTGTTTATCAGCTGTAAGAGCTCCCTGGTGGAGTTTTTCAGGTCACTTATGTAGACCATCATATCGTCTGCAAATAGTGAGAGTTTGAATTCCTCCTTTCTGATTTGTATTCCCTTGATCTCCTTTTGTTGTCTTATGGTCTAGGTAGAACTTCAAGGACAATATTGAAGAGGTT